GATCTTAAGCACTGAGCCCATTCAGAATGCATATATGGAAACTGTGACAAAGTATCTTAGGAGTAACCATGAGTTGGAGCAATGATTTATTTCAATAAATTAACCTAAGCTCTGCACAAGCCTTTATTTCTTCTACTCTAGAATAAAACCAGAAAATGCACTTAGACACATTCTGCATTTTAATTATACTTTCAGAGGATATAACGGTTGTGTGGATTAAGAAGCAGTAAAATTAAATCGATTTTTCCATACATGCAGAAAGATGCGAGGCTTAATGTGTATTATAATTAGGGACAAGGAAATCGATTGCAGAATTTTTTTTAAGATACTGAAACTCTAAATTTCAGTGACCTGCTGGCCTTTTCCAACTTGTTGTTTGTTCCCCTAAAATCATTTTAACATCTTTTTAAGTCCTAGTTCTGGCAAGTTGCTAAACCCAGTAGTGATAAAGTTGGCCCTCATAGGAAGTTTCTTGGTGTTATAACAGGAAGCTCTGGGAATTAGAAAAGGCCTTTTTTTGATCTTTTCAGTCCAAATATGTCTGACTTGACGTAATTGAACTTCTGAGGGGTGACTCAGAACGTCTCGGAACACTTTAGGGCTGACCGATGGGAAGCAAAAGCCACAGAGAACTTGCTCCTTCCCTCGTCTTGCTTTCACTGCGAGGTTGGCAGGAAATCTGTGAAAAGGGCTCGGGTGACTCGGAGACAGTTCCATCATGACAAATAAAAGGCTCGGCTTTCAAGGAGGAGTCTGACAAATTCCAAGACCGAGACAGGTGCCGACCTTCACTTTAGGTGTTGTCGACAACGGGCCTTTGCATGTTTTAATTGTACCACAATATCCGTCAGACATCACGCTGTAGAAACAACACCAAGAGCCAGTCCAATTCCAGCAAAACCCTGGGGGGCCAGCGTGGGGCAGAATTTTCTGGAAGCTTCTGCCCCTCTAGTCCTGTTTCTGCCCTTTATGGTGGGCGGCATATGGCCAGCGGCCACCTACAATTTTAAGCATCTAGTGCATCCTCTCTCCCTCCCTCCTTCCCTCTCTCCCTCCTTCCTCTTCCCTCTCTCCCTCCTTTCTTCCTTCTTTCTCTCCCTAGCTCCCCTTTCCTCCTCTTCCTCCTTCCCTGTCTCTCTCCTTCCCTCTCTCCCTCCTATCCTCCTCCCTCTTACCCTCTTTTCCTCCTTCTCTCTCTCCCTCCCTTCCTCTTCCCTCTTTCCCTCCTTTCTTCCTTCTCTCTCTCCCTAGTTCCCCCTTCCTTCTCTTCCCCCTTTCCTCTCTCTCTCCTTCCCTCTGTCCCCCCTTTCCTCTTCCTTCTTATCCTCCTTTCCTCCTTCCCTCTCTCCTTCCCTGTCTCCCTCCTTGCTTCTCTCCCTCCCTCCTTCCCCCTCTCTCACTGTCCATCTCAAGGCTCTGATTTCTGGTGTGGGCCACTTTCTCTACAGCAGTAAAGATGCCCGCGCACCCCCCAGCATCTCTAGACACAGCTAGTCCACAATGATATGGTTTTTTTTAAAGCTTTGCTTTTATCATAGTTAATAGTGCACCCCGCTTAAGGAATCGAATTGTTCTAAGAGACACTTTTTAAAAAACAGCATTCTCTGCTCCCTTTTCAATTTCCTCCCCCCAAATCATCACTTTCAGCCTTTTCAGCTGATAATGTTTCTATTTATCTGCAAATAACATGGTCCATTTTTATCTTTCATGTTTCATCAGTATATCGTGAATTCCCTTTATAGAAGTCAGGCAACTCAGAAATAACCCCTTTCCTGCACCCAGCCCCCACTGTAGTTCAATTACTCTTCTGGCTAGATCGTTAATCAATAATTACGTTATTATAACTGTGTAAATGTTACTCTCAGCTGAGTCAAGGAGTTACTGTGATTATGTTTCTTTCCTATATAACATTGTTTCCATCAGGGTGAATATGTGTTCCTCTTTTTCTTTTCTCTATGGAAATGTCATTCAATCCCCAGTTCCCCAATTGCCTAATTCTCTTCTCACGACATTTGGACATTCTGTGACTTTTATGTTCTAGCAGAGGTCTCTGTCAGAATCTTCAGCCCACATCAGTCTGATTTGTGGGCCTCTAGGGCTGGTACAGATGTCATTTTAGATCTCTCTTTATTGTCATCCTGAAATTTTTCTTCATTCATCTCCTATATTCATCACCTGTTACATGTGTCTCACATTTTCCACTCCATAGGTTTACATACTTGTTTTGGTGGAGCACATCCTGCAGTAGCTTCCCGAGAAAGGGATGGGGGAAAGTACAATTTTGCGATTTCACATATTTGAAAATGTCCATTAAGTCTTACTTAATGGAGAGGAATGAATTCTGGTTATTTCTGAATTGTTGGCAATACATTCTAGATTGAAAGCAATTTTTTTCTCCAGGATTTTGAAGGCATTGTTCCATTGTCTTCTAACCTCCCAGTGTTATTTTTGAGAAGTCCAAAGCATTTCTGACTTCTGAGACTTTGCAGGACATCTGGATGCTGGTAGGATCCAATTTGCTGAACTTCATGATGGTGATCTTGGTTTGGGCTGAATTTTATCCTGAGCTGGACGTATGGAGAGTCCTTTCCATCTGGAAAGTCATAACATTCTGTTGTGCAAAATGTTCTTAAATCTTTATTGATGATTCTTTTCCCCTTTGTTTTTCTATTCTCTTTTCTAGAATTCCTATTGTTTCTATGTTGAATCTGGAAGACTCTTCTTATTCTTTTATTATGTTAATCTTTCTCTTCTGTCTTTTTTTCTCTAATGTCTGGGAGACTTGTTTAACTTTAGCTTTTAATCCTTCTAATGAGTTTTTTTTTAGTTTCAATTTTCATGAGCTTTGCTTTAATCCTCAAATGTTTCCCTTTTTATATCTTTCTGTTCTTGTTTTATAGATACAATATCTTCTCTTTTATCTCTGAGAATATTAGATATTTTTTTAAGTTTTCTTCTCCTGCATTTTCTCTTGTTTCCTTTAAGTTATTTTTTATTCTGTTTGTTTTGGTCTCTATTTTTCCTGATACATTATGGCTGCTGTAGGCTTTTCTCGTACCTTCTTTGTTCTTCCTGGGTTATGACTTTATAAGTATCCTTCATTCATTTCAGCTGTGTCTGTGGGTTGTGTGTTTACATTTAAGAGCAGGGCACCAGAAAGTCCGTGGAAGGAGTTTGTGTGTTACTGGGAATTGTCAACTGTGGACTTTAGTGGATTGGAGTTGGCTGAAATGTGCTTATTAGGAAAACCTGGTGTCTGTAGCTCTACATTTTTCCTCTTGGGTTCCTCGGAGAAGGATCTTCCAGTCCTTTGCCTTGAGGGCAAAGACATTCAGCGCTGTGCAGAGGGTGGTGTCCAGGAGGAGATCCATGGGTCTTGGCACAGAGGTGAACACGTGCTCAACCTTTGCTTTTAGAAGGGCACCTCTCACTCCTCCCTGCTGGAGTCTCTCTGCGGGAGGCCTGGGTTTCACCCTCTCCTTTGGATAAACCTGTCGTCGTCTGCCAAGTCCAGGGAGCAGATGGCGTCTGGAATTGGAGAAGGGATGTGGTGTTGGCTGAGCCGATTCTTAAACAAACCTCCACTTAATCCTTCTCTTTGGTGTCACCTTCACCACACGCAGTAAAAAAATCAACTGGTTTTCATGAAAACTTGAGTAGTCTGTTGAGGGTCTTTTAATAAGTACCTTTCTCAGATCTCCTTAGGCAAGTGTTCATCACTTAACAAACTATTCTTGCTGTCATCTCCTTTTTCGTCTTTTTTGGTTTTATTGTGTATGCTTATTTTAGCTGGGTTTAGGGGAAAATCAAAGGTACACCTGTGTTCAGTCCCTAGTTAGTGTTCTTAAGCCCTTTGTCTCCTAATGGTCACATGATGTCCCCAAAGAACTCTGACCAAAGGCGTTTGGATCACTTGCCCCAGCCCCTAGCCTGGCACTAACCCTATGATCTGGGTCCTCTTGAGGGTCTGGGTCACCTGCTTTCCTTTGTCATAGAAAAACCGCGACTATTGACTACTGCGTGGAAATCGTGTGAGTGGCAGTTCCCAAAAGAAAGGAAGGCAGCTCTGACAGTAGGCAGCAAATGCCCCAGACATGGGGCAGCTTTGTCTTCCAAAAGGTGCTGACCTTGAGCAGGCAAGGATTATCCTCGGTTGCTTTGTATTAAAAAATGTTGGCACCATCTCAGAAGCACTAGTTATCCAAGCATGAAGCACCTCCCTTGGTATTTTCCTCCACCGTAAGCCTCAGCAACATCTGTTCACACTTAGTGCTCCCGGATCAATTTATTAATGCAGATGCCCACTGGAGTGCAAGGACAGCAAAGGCTTCTCAGAGAAATCCCACCCCCTTGGGGGGAAAAGGAGGCCAAGTCAGGCTCTCCCACAACTCTGGACCTAGGGCATTGGCAGTGCAAATGGAAAGGGGGTAGACACAGTGTCCACCCTTCATTGGGATGACTAGTGGAAAGGGAGTGACATTTATTTCCCTGCTTTAACTACCAAAGTCCTAAAGGAAGGACATCTTATGCAACAAATTTAAATACTCTGCATACATTGTCAAATAGATGCTTTTTATTCTGGTAGGGATTTCTTTTGTGTTAGTCTCTGAAACAAGATGTCTGGGACATTCAAAGAAATAATGTCATTTTTCTTCAGGGTTTAAACGCTAAGCTAAAAGAAAACTTTTGTTTCCTTTTGAGACCTCTGGCCCTCTGTGTCACAATGATGCAGCCCTGAAGACAATGCTTTTGAAGGACATTCTTAATGGCAAACTTTAAATGAAGTCAATAGCAGGTATCTCCATGACAATGCCTATATGCTATTGTCCTTTTCATACTTAACAAGAACAAAAGGCCACAGCCAGACCGATTAGTCACATAAGATGGGACATGATGACATTTTTACTCCAGAACTTTTCTGGTATAAAAGGGCCACCCAAGGAGGATTCTGACAGTAAGTGTGAGGAATTTGGCAATAAAACCGCCTATCTGTGCAGATTTGGGGACGAACAAAATGATTAGGTAAAAGGCTGAATTTTTCGCAAAGAAAAATGTTGAATTTTTATATGCTTTTTCACTTATACTTGCCTAGATGAGACTAAATCTTTGTGTTATTTTTTCCATTCTGCAGCTCATTAAAAATCAACCTGATCTTAGTTCTGTCGCTGTCCACCATGGCCGTGCTTTGGTGTTATCCTGTCCCGTCTTCTAAGGTGAGTGTTTGGCCTCTACTGTTGATGCTTGAAAAGATGACTGGAATTGTAGGGTATGTCGATTCAAAATAATCTCAAGGAATATGTGACATAGAAATAATTTACTTTATTATTAGAGTTTTCAATACAAAAGTATAATCAGATTGAAGAAATTAGTAAAAGGAACCGTTTATGTAAAAATAAGTAATAGTAGACTATACCGGACTTTGTTTTGAATAATTTAGGGGTTGGCTCCTGCATAGGGAAATGTCCATTTCAATATAAAATGTTAAGTATTTTGCTCACGACAAATTATTTGTTCTATATGCGTTCACTCGTAATCAAAATGAACATTTAACCATTGAAACTATATTAAAAATACAATGATTATTTTTCAAAACCACTGAATTTCCTAATTTTATAATAATAGGGACTTTTTTTCAGATGCAGAATATAGACACAATGTTAGGTCTCAATAAAATATCACATGAAATATTAATTCATATATTTATTCAACAGTATTGATGGAGCTTCCATGTTCCTTGAACTGTTCCAGACATTCAGAAAATAAATGTCTTTCTTTGGAATATTTAATACTATTTCTATATGATATTTCAGTCGCTATTTATGTCACTATTTTAAAGTTTTAAAGTATCATTTGTCACTGATGATGTTTTGAACTTTAACTTTTTTTTCACTAAAATTTAACCTGTCACACTGTAATTACTAAAATCAATGTAGTTTAAGAAACTCCTTTTAGGATAAAGAGATGTCACATAAATCCTAAATGATGAGTCTATGTCCAGACATAATGATCTAGTTATTTATATTATTGGGCTTCTCACTAACCTTCTCATCTGTCATTTTCCTATCTCTTGTTTACTTAATATAGCTTCCTTTCCTTCCTGTTTCACTCCTATGAGCATTCGACTCCACCTGAGTCATTGATTCCATAAGACACCACATTGGCCAAGTTGATGAGTCACAGTCCACAAATTGGTGTATTTTCTCAAGAGCCTTCCTAATTACTTTCTGTTCTTTCCCCAAAGCTTTCCTCATGACACTGCTATCGAATAACAGGCACTGTCTGCAGCTTTTTCTTTTTAAATTGAGAATGCACTTTATTCTAACATACTTATGAAACCACCTTGCCCATAAATGAAATGTTTCTCCTTTCACCATGTTTTCCATATTTCTATTTTCGCACGTGGCAATTTTGTTCCTGTGATTACCCCGTGGTGTTGTTACCGGTGTGAACAGTATTCGTGCCAACTCGATTGCTCAGGGTGAATGATTATGCAGACAAACGACGCATAGGCGCTTGTAATGTCCGTCGTGAACCTCATAAAGCCCATCAGCCACGCAGACACACGGTGTTATTCTGATGCCGAGTCTGCCCCGGCAAGGGCTGCCTCCAGTGATCTGCAAAGGGCATCGATATCTTTTCAGGGATGTTTTAAGGGTGTTTTAGGAATCTGATAACCAGAACTGATACATTTCTTTTGCAGTATAAAGGTGGCATCATGAGTATTTCTGGAAAGAACTGGATTGCTTCCCTTCCTGCAGTGACTCATGGGCCCCTCCCTCTGGGGGTTTAAAATAGAAGACATTCTCCGTGCAGCCTTCAGATTTCCTCTGTTAACACAGGGAGATGTTCAACTAAAAGTGTTTGGTTGGTTTTCTCATGACCAATATTTCTGAAACTCTCTTTGACTATTCCCAGACCAAAAGGGGGAAGGGGGAAAAGCCCACCTATTTTTCCCAGAGTGCAGTGGGAATTTTCCTGGGGAGCTCGGACTGTAGCCTCTCCAGGAAACCCCCTGGTCGTGGGGGAGAAGGAGCATTTTATGCACTCTGGTCCCATTGCAACTTCCAAGTAACCAAGGCCAAACTTGTTCTCCTGTACCAAGATAGAAAAATGTAAATTTTTACTCCGTAGTACGTCTATTTATAACAAAAGTGTCCACCTCCCTCTTCTTCTTGTATAATTCTGAACAATCGAGAAGCCTGGGCTTGGAGTCAGATGCTGGGACTGGAATGGCTTTATCTAAAAGCCATTTAATTCCCCCATTTAATACTGAGGAAATAATAGTACCTACTTCCTAGAGCCTTTTTCAGGAATAAAATAAGGGGCTGCACCTAAAGCAGGTAGCACAAGGGTCATCGACCAGACCTTGAGTCCTGGATGAGGAAACTGAACAAAGTCAAAAGATGAAAGCAGCGGTGTTCAAGGAACAAGATACCCCTAAAGAGAACCTTGGCAGATGGACCAGGACAGGCCCCAGAAGGAAAGCGGTTCCAACCAAAGCTGGAGTCTGATCATCATGGGTTGTTTTCTAAGTGAATTTAAAAAACTATTCCCAGGACTAATCAGTGCCACTTGAAATCGTCTTTACAAAATAATAGCAACAAGATAACCATGTATGCCGCATGGCATAAATACTGAGTAGCAGCAATTACATAAGCAGTGTAAAAACTGGACAAGTGGACAGATCACTCCAAATATTATTTTGTATCTAGGTAGAATATGTATCATGTTTTAGCAAAATTTACACCATTAAGAAGATTGGATATGTTGGGTTTATTGTCATAAGAGTTTGAAAATTGTTACTATTGAAATAAACCTTTAACACTAATGCTGAATTCTCTTTCTCCTCCCCCGTCTGAATTGCCAGGTGCCTGGAAAATCTGATTTCCTCCTCATCCTGCTGAACAGCTGCCCAACCAGGCTGGACAGGAGAGAGGGACTAGCTTTCCTAAAGCCAATTTTGGAGAAGACGTTTCCGAAAAGGTCCTTTCGCAATGGAGTTGGCACAGGGATGAAAAAAACTTCCTTTCGAAGAGCAAAATCATGAACAAGTGTGCAAAGGACTCTGGGAATTAGTCTCAAACGATGTAGAGTGAGACTGATGTGCTCACAGTCAGTCGTACCTTTCTCACTGGGTGTCGGTGTGCTTCAGTTCTCAAATATCTTTCCTCTCCTCCCTGGCACAGAGTAAATTGAGTTTTTTAAAAAATGTAAACCTGTATCAAACTTCCACTTGTGAGAGAAAAAAACTATTTATGTGGTCAGTGAGTAACTTTCCCAAAACGGAATGGACACATTTGCTTTCATCTTAAATTGGCCAGAATGTGTGAGCATGTTTATAGTCATGACTGTACTGTGATTTTTTTTTCCTTTCTTGTAATATCGTAGCACTGAATATTGCAGAATTTTTCCCGTTGAGTATGGTTTTCTCAAATGACTTAGCAGGACCTATTTTTGGGGGGATGTGCTATTTCCATTTCTACGAGAGTCTTGTGAAATTAACCAAAGTTAAGATTAGTGGGACAGCTGTATGAATCAATTGATTAACTGGTACCAGCAGCAAACGTCGCCAGAACCCTTGAAATGTAATTCTTGTCTCCCTTTTCCAGTTCCAAATATACTTATATATGGAATGTTGTTTTGTCTTGGAAATTTGTTGCCTTTTAAAATCTTTAAACACAGAAACGCCGCCAGTAACAACAATGACAGCAGAGAGACTGCCTGTTGCCCTGCGTACTGTGGGGAGCTGTTTGGGAGCCTGTTCCCCAAAACTGTGCTGACCAATGCCCTCCCCCCTCCACCCCCGGCAAAAGACTCATCACCCATCACCTCTTGCATCAAAACCCCTGATATTGCTTTTTTAAAAAGAATAATGCAACATTGGTTGATAGGTTGCTTCAAAATCATAACGTTAATAAATGTGTTCATGCATGTTGGATTCTGCAACATGCTAAGGGTGTCCGTTGGGAGCCGGGCACAGCTCCTAGGCTGGAAGCCGTGGAAGCCGCAGGACGACCTGTCCATAGTTGCTGGCTTCAGATAGAGTCACAGAGTCTGCAGGAAACAGGACTCATAGTGAGCAGGTCACACAGTCACCAGCTGGGTCTGCACAATCAAATCTATGTCTGCAAAAAGCAGTCTGCAAGTGTGGTCCGTTGCTGCAGCTGCTGAGTAGCCGCCGCAAAAACCTGAGGCCCCTGAAGGTCTTCTGGGGTTTGTTTGTGACTTTATGCAGGTGTGGTCCTTCCTTGGTCGCAGTCACACCCACAACGCCCACGGCACCTCCTCCTGCCTCCTGCCCCTGGCGGCTGCGTGAGAGGTCACACCTGCCATGGCCAGCACTTCAGCACTGCGGCCACCACCTCTGTCCCCAGGGCATGTGGGGCTGGGCAGGTGGGACACTTTTGTTCAGGAGTCGAAATGGGACATCAGCCCAGAGGTGTTCCGGGCCCTGGTGTGGGATCTTGGAACCGTTGCCCTCACCTGCCGATGGCAGCAGGTTGCCCTCCTGCTTGGGGGCCACAGAGTTGGCTGAGACCATTGGGATGTTTAAGAAATATCTGAAATAATAAACAGACAAAAGCCTCCAAGGTGGTTGTATCATTTTTAACCAAAAAATGATGTTTCCCACTTCGCTCTAAGTGTGTGGACACAGAAGAAGTGACGAAGTCCTCGGGCAGTTTGAGGACTAACGAGCCTTATGCGCTTTTGTTTTCTGTCACTGTGGTCTCTGCCTTTGTCCCTTGGAGGGCAGCTTTAAAAATCTAAGCAACTGGCCAGTGGCAGCTCTTCTGTCCTAACCCTTGCCCCCAAGACTGGACTTGTCTGGGAGCATTTGAACGTGCAGCAAGCAGACCCGTGACTCAGCAGCTGCTCCCAGGCTCTGCAGCACCGGGAGGCTCGGGGATAACAGGCAAACTGCTTCCCATAAAATGTGGGAAATCTGACAGAGCCTCGTCAAGGAAATTGGTGTTTCTTACCTACCTAGCATCATTGGTGTGGGAGCTAATTGGATAGGCTGATAGGCGTTATTTACTCCTTGAGAGTAGAAAATGACTTACAGTATTAATAAGCTCATGATAAGTGAGATGTCCATGGAAAATCTTGTGTACAGAAGGGAAAAGACTGCTATTTCAGGGAAATCTCCCTAATTTTCTATTATTTTCATTTGTATGGACTGGTTGGAAGAGCAAAAGAATTTGGAAAACTTCATTTCCCACTTCTGGATCCAAAATATCATTTTAACCTCGGGGGGGAAAAAGGCCTATGAAAAAGTATTTGCACCCTGGAAATTGTCACAAATGAAAACCTGGCAGGTAGGAAAATTTGCTTCCTGAGAAAAAAATTATAGCTCTTGTTAAGATTTTAGGAACAAAGTGTTTAAGACAAAAAATACTTCTATGCCGTGTTTAGAGAATGTCACAGAAGAGGTGACCAAGGGTGGCCACCTGACCTTGGGGGACACTGAACCCCAACAGGGCAGACCCCGTGCAGTCATGGGCTTCGCTTTCTGCAGGCTGCCGGGCAAGCCTGCCCCTCCGAAGCCTGCGTGGGGGGAGTGGCGTGGAGTGACAGGGACAGTGATAAGAAGGCCTTGGTGACCTTTCACCCCCTGTCATCGCCTGAATTTCACCATTAGAGCAGGCATCCTGAGGGACAGATTAACTGGTTAATTTCGGTCAACTCTACCTGAATGTGATAGAGTTTCCTGTGCTGTCTCCAGGCATTTTACTGGAGGGAAGGAAAAGAACTCAAGAGCGCCATGGGTACCTGGGGAGAGAACGCCGGTGTGGCGAGCACACGGGGGCCCCGGGAGGCAGGTACCAAAGACCCCCCAGGCCACACCCACTGTGCTTGAACCTTAGGACCCTTGTCCGCTTGGGCGTGCCACCTTGCTCAAGCTCCTAGAATCTTTCTGAGCCCGAGTTTCATCACCCATGAAGCGAGGCTAATATTACTTCCCTTTCAGGATTGCTCGTTTGTTTATTTATTAATTAATGTATGCGCTTGACACATATTTGTTGAGCAGCTACTGTGTTCCGGAGACAGTGTTCTAGCCACTGGGACTGCAACAGTGAAGAGGACAGACCAAAACTGTTGGAGTGGGATGGGGTGGTGGAGTTGGAGAAAACAAGAAAAAAATGCATATGTAATTCTATAAATATGCATAATACTTTAGAAGGTGATGAGGAGAGGTGGCAAGGAAGGGGCAGATGGAGTGCTGTGGGGTGGAGACAGGGCTGCAACTTCCAATGCAGCGGTCAGGGAAGGCATTGTCGTGAAGGATTAGTAAGAATTCCGAGTTGTAGAGTGGAGTGAGCAGGGAGAGGGTGGGGACAGGGAGGGACAGACAGGAAAGGGGGCTTCTGTAGAGTCTTACAGGACTTTGCTTTTCCTGGGTGCACGAGAAACCACTGGAGGGTTTTGAGCAGAGAAATGACATTATCAAATGTAGTTTTAGCCTTCATGAATTCATAAGAATAAGAAATAAAATACACATACAGTAGGTTTCAATGAAAGTAGTAATAATTCATTCTAACAATGGCACCTGGCATCGGGGACTCCCTCTTGCCTGCTTCACGGTTCTGCCCTGAGAGGTAACTAAGCTGTCCCCTACAGCGTAGTTTGGGCAAGGACCCCGGGTGGGGAGAGGTGTTGCTCTCCAAGGTGCTGAAGGAACTTGTGTTGACAGAGTAGATCCCTGAATTCCCATCTACAACTTGCCTCAAAGGTGGAATGCTATCCCACCAGATTCTTTCTCATGTACAAATGAGGGACATTTGGTTCTCACAAATATCTTTTGAGATTTTCATAGAAGCATCCCAAGCAAAGAACTGCAAGAATTGAGATTTCAACTCTCACACTTGAATTTCAGGGGTGCTCATCTTTTTTTTTTTTTCTTTCTGTTGGCTATTTACTTCTAATGCTGAAATTTTAAAAAACAAACAGGGACATCTACTATAAAATTTCTACTCCAAACACTCAATCTTATTCGTCTTTGAGTAGTCACAGAAAGGGAAATCTAAAACCAATTGGATTTCATTTCCCTCATAGAGTAAGACTGAGGCTATAGCAGTTTGATATCAAAGTCCCATTCCTACACTCAATATTCTCATCCTACTTTTGGCCCAACGGAAAAGAATGGCAGAAAGGAAGCACCCAGGAACCTCTCCTCCATCCCTCCCCTTTGGACTCATATCCCTCCGTTGATATCTGATACACTCACATGGTAAAGGTAGGAATGCCATCCTCCCCCAAGCCAGGTACACAGCTTCCCTGAGCAGCAGACAGCCCAGCCCAGCCTGCTTGGCCCCAGCTTGCAAGGCCATCTTCATGCTCGCCCTACACAAAGGGAGATGGCAGGCAGGATGCCCCTCCCGGAGCACGAGCCACGATGGATCCACAGGTCCAGCCGTGCAGTGCAGGCAATCTCACAGCTCCTGGCTGATCTGGCTGTGGAACCTTCCACCTGTGAGCTCTGCCTTGCACCACGTGGTGTTGAGAGTGTGGCTGAGCCTTTGGTTGGCACCTACCTGCTGAACTCTTGCCTATCAGGTGCTAAATTCAGCTCATGCCCTACGTGGAGAAAACTTGCCAAAAATTTAACCTAAAGAGATCTTTGCTAAGTGAGACTCAGTATGTGTCAATATATGTATCAAACAGGCTCTTCCTCAAGGATAACCTACCTCCCACTTAACAGGTTTGTGGTTTTGTATCAACGGCTTTCCATATATTGTCTCATTTCCCACCCCACAGCCCTGTTGAAGGCCACGGGGAGGTTGTTGTACCATGCGCAGACGAAGAAACTGAAGCTTAGATGCAGTGATTTTCTCGAGCTCACATGCCTGGCAAGCGGCAGATCTGCCTGGCTCCAAAGCAGGTGCTCTGTGATTTGTGACATCCAACTGCCCACGGTACAACCTCAAGGCTCCATTGGGGGGACATCTGCTTGCAAGTGCACGCGATTGTTGGCAGAACTCAGCTCTTTGTGGCTGGAGGCCTGAGCACCTCAGTTTCTTGCTGGCTGTCAGCAGGAGGCCATCCTGAGTTCCTGGAGGCACCATCAGTTCTGTGACATG